ATAATAATATCTTCAAATAAGCATTATTCTTTCTATATTCTCAGGGTGAATAGTCTTATAGAAGGAAGATATACCTCAGAATTCTAGTACCTCAGAATAAAAAGTATTTTGAATAATTAGGTGAACTCCAAGACACATTAGGGATGAGACATAAAAAGGAGAGAAAAGTTAATAAATCAGCAACAAATTTTGAGTAATACCTGATATCAATTCTTCTGTGTGGATATTCTTTTTCACCATTTTTACTGGGAAGCTGGCAAACACCCTGAAATATTTTAAAGTATGAGTAAAATGTTTCAACTTTTAATGTTAAAATGCTGAAGTTTTAAAATGAAAATGTTTTCATTTTAATCAAATATTAAATCTATAGCTACATGCACTTGTAACAGCTATTGCTTTAGAACTCTGAGCATTTTAACTTAATAGCTCTTCTATGGATCTTGGCTGAAAGCAGAGAATACCAGAAAATTGTTTATTTGTGTGTTGACTATACAAAGTATTTAGATCATAACAAGTTATGGCTGACATCAAGAAGAATGGGTACTCCAGAACATTTAATTGTAATCAGCAAAATCTATACCTAGACCACAAGACTGTTGTCCAAACAAAACAAGGTTTAAAATAAAGAAAGGTGAGCATCAGGGTTGTATCCTTTCTCCAGACCTATTCAAGCTATGTGGTGGTGGTGGTGTGTACCATAGAGTTGGAATCGACCCACAGTTGACTCTGGCAAGTTTTCAGAGGCAGTTAATTGCATGGGAGGAAAGTGCTCATTCTTCTCCCACAGAGCAGCTGATGCGTCCAGGATTGCAATGTAGCTTTCTTGCCACTAGGCCACCAGCGCTCCCTATTCAAGTTATACAATGAGCAAATAATTCAAGAAGTTGGATTATTTAAAGAGGAATATGCATCAAGAGTAGAGAAAGACTCATCAACAACCTGTATTACACAGATGACACAGCCTTGCTTGCTCAAAGAGGATTTCAAAAACCTGCTGCAGAAGATCAGAGACTATAGCCTTCAAAATGGATTACTTTTCAATAGCAAGAAAGCAAAAGTCCTCACCATTAGATGAACAGGCAACATCATAAGAGATAAAAAAAAAGACTGAAATTGTCAATGATTTGATTTTACTTGGATTTACAATCAACAGCCATGGTAACAGCTGTCAAAAAATTAAGACATGTTATATAGGGAAAATATGCTGTCACGGGCCGTTCCAAAGAGTAAAAAGAGCAAAGATGTCCATTTAAAGACTGAGATGTGTCTGAGCCAAGCCATGGACTTTTCAATTACTTGCTGTGCACCTGAAAGTTGGACAATGAATAAGGATGACAGAAGAAGAATTGATGCCTTTGAATTATGGTGTTGGTACTGAGTATCCCACGGACTGCGCAAAGAACAAACAAGTCTGTCTTGGAGAAAAGTGCAACCAGGACACTCCTTAGAGGTAAGAATATATTTTGGGCAGGTTGTTTGGAGGGGTCAGTTCTTTGAAAAAGACATCAAGTTGGGAAAGTTGCAGTGTCAGAGAAAGAGAGAAGATACTCAACAAGATAGACCGACACACTGACTATTAACAATGGGCATGAACATATCAAAGATGGTGTGGATGGGGAAGTACAGAGCAAGGTTCAGGTCTGTTGTCCACGGGCTGTAGTCAACTCAATGGCACCTAACAGCAACAGCAGCAACAGCAACAGCAGCAGCAGCTTTTCTATGCATTTTATATAATCACCATCTCTCTACTGTACTTCATGAAAATTAAGATACATGAAAGAGCAGGGAAGCGAAGATTCTAGTTATGAGGCACACAACAAAACCAGAAAAATTAAAACCTAATATAAGCATTTCTTTCACTGTTTATATGGGGGGAAGACTAATGAAACCTGTTTTTCTTCAAAATATGACACCTACCTCTTAAGCATTAATAAGTTCCAACTCAACTTCCACCTTCAAGTGCATCAGAAGGAACTTCCATCTGGAATTACCAGTAGGTATTAGTTGTGGATACGGCTGTTTGGATACCAGAGGCAATGATCTTGCTGTTTGTCACATCAGCAACAGCATTTCATCTAATGGCTTTGTTCCTATCCTCAAGGCTAATTTTATTTCCTGCACTTTTTCTGAAGTGCGAATGTTAAAGATTTTCTCTGTTTTAGTATACATTCTTTGTTAGATTGAGTGGATTAGTTTAGTTTGGCATTTCAATTAGGTTGCTTCATGTTGAATGTCTGAAATAAATCTGCTTTCATTTCCTCAGGGCAGTCAAGGTTTCCTCTATTGTCTGTTGAATCCTCACTGTAGCTAGTTCACAGGAAATCACCCCGGGCCATACTTGCACTAAGTATTAAACCTGAATGGCATTCATCACACATAAAGCTATCAGGCATCTAAAAGCACAGAGAACTTTTTTCTTCTAAATGTTATTATATTCACAGGAAGAACAGCTCAATTATCTAAAGATCCTAATTTTACAAGATCTGTAAACCTGGCTTTCCCAGAGTTTTGATTACTAATAGCTTAAAAGAAACTCATGTTTTGAAGATAACTTGAAACACATATGAATAATCATACTTTCAAACTTTTCTGTCAGTGGTTACAGCAACAAGAGGTCTTGGAATCAAGACAGTATGGAATGACAGTGGCTTATTCCACTTTATAAGTGAAATCCATTCTATAGGCAAGTTTCTTTCACACCTAGCAATCTGTGGTTTTCAGGGTTTAGAGTCCAAAATGGCTTTCCTAGCCAGTGAGTTTGACTGCCACATGGATAGGCAGTAATATGCAAAAAGGGTATGTTAGCCTATCCACAAGGTGACTGGTTAGTTGTGCCATTAAATTGAGCAGATTTAGCAGCAAAATTGAAGACTTTCACCACCAGCAAAAAAGCAAGCGAATGCTGTGCATTTTTTGAAGCCAGAGATTCTGGTGCCAGCCAGACCAGGACTTATGGGAACTGTAACTGGCAGGACTATGAGCCTAAAGCCATGAGGCTGAAGGCTGAAGTGGCAGTGAGCACATTTGGGAAGCTGTCCTAAGTGACTGTATTCTACTACTAACCTGAATTACAGCCTTTTGACTTCCCCACTATGGTTCTACATGGTCTGTGAGCTCTCACAATGGATTCTGGACCCCGTAAAACAGAAAGACTGGTGCTGGGACAAGTAAAAAGAGGTGTGAGAATATGGGAAACGTGTGACCTCATGGGAATTGGTTTTGTGTTGATGGGGACAATTCCCCTTTGTGAGTTGGTACAGGTCAGATATGGCCATTCCCACGTGACTCTTGATCTTTTTACAAGATCTTAACTTTCATATCTGGTTTAGTACTGATTCGATCAGTCTTTGCTCAGACTCTCTTTACCTGTATGTATCTCTTTCCTCAGACAGTTGTTGTTGTTAGGTGTCATTAAGTTGAGCACAACTCATAGCAACCCTATGAACAAAAGGTCTGAACCCTGGTCAATCTATCCTGTACCATCCTCACACTTCTTGACACACAAAAGCCCCCTGCAGCAGTCACCATGTCAATCCACCTGGTCATGTCAATCCACCTGGTTGAAGGTCTTCCTCTCCTTCGCCGACTCTCCACCCTTCTCAACATCATATCCTTCTCCAAGGAACAGTACCTCCTAGCAAAATGTCCAAAGTATATGAGGCAAAGCCTTATCATTCCTGACTCCAAAGAGCACTCCGGCTGAACCTTCTCCAAGACATATCTGTTTGCTCTCTTGGCCGTCCATGGTATGTTCAGTGCTCTTCTCCAACACCACAGCTCAATTCTTTTTCTGTCATCCTTATTCACTGTCCAGCTCTCAGATGCATAGCTAGTAAATGGAAGGAAAGACTATGGCCAGAATCAGATGCACCTTAGTCTTCAAACTGACATCACTGCTCAATACTCTAGAAGGGTAGCTTGGCTAATTCTCTCACTTTGAGTGTTTCCTTAAATCTCATCTCAGTGAGACTTCCTCTGCCCATCCTACTGAGTACTGCCTCCTCTATGCCTTAGCTCCCTTCCATATCCTACATTATTATTATTATAATTATTATTTATTATTATTATTATGATTATGTGTGTACCATCAAATCAGATCTGACTGGTACAGAAGGCAATTATTCCTCCTTCTTCAGCAGAGCACCTGGTGGATTTGAACTGCGTACCTCTGGGATTGCAGTGCAGCTTCTTGCCACTAGGCCACCAGAGTTCGCCCATAACCTACATTATTTTTTTAAAATGGCACTAATTACTTTAATCTAACATGCTGAAACTACTGAAGGGAAATGATGTTACTTTGAAGACTAAGGTGCACCTGATTCAGACCAGGGTCTTTTTAATCATTTGCTACGCATTGGAGAGCTGGACAATGGATAAGGATGACATAAAAAAAAAAGATGTCCTTGAACTGTGGTGTCAGAGAAGTACTGAATATCCCATGGACTGCCAAAAGAATAAACCGGTAAGTCTTGGAGAAGGTGAACTGCTCCTTGGAGGCAAGGATGGCATCTTGCACACATTGGGCATGCTGTTAGGAGGGATTATTCCTTGGAGAAAGATATCATACTTGGAAAGGTGGAGGGATGGCAAAGGAGAAAAAGACCCTCAGCCAGGTGAACTGACACCAGTGACTGTAGCAATGGGTTCCAGTATGTCAGAGACTGTGAGACTGACACAGGATAGGACCGATCTGTTGTTCATAGGGTCACTATGATTCATACTCAATGGTGCCTAACAACAATATACTGTGTACTTTATGTATTATATTCACTGTTCACTATCAGTCCCCTTCGATACACCTTAAGTATTAATTTACTTAAGTTCATTCATATATTTCAAACTCCTAGAACAGAGCCTGGAAGATAGCACTTATTTTTCGACCTGACTGAATCTAGCTTCTCACTCCTTTTTATATTTGTTCTCCCTATTCTGTTTTCCTTTCATATCACCACCTTCTTTTTACTTTCTATCTATTCTTTTGTTCCCTAATTTTCTCCTAACTAGGTTGCCTTTCTCTACTGATCTACTTCCAAACAGATTACAGGGAACTTCAAAGAGTTTTTAGTCTATTACTTCATTTGATCTGCATAATAGCTCTTTGAAATAGGCAGGTAAATATTATTAGCATTTTATAGATAAGAAAATTAAGGCCTTATTGAGGTAAAGTGACTTGCCTAATGTTACACAATGAATTAGTAATGGATGGGGAGGAAGATCCTCTACTTTCTGCACCAAATCTATTCTACTTACAACATACCAATATCCAAAGTTCTCCCTTGCACCAAGGTACAACTCATCTCTTATTGGCTTCAAAAGAAATTTATTTGAAAGTTGACCTGACCTGTTGTTATGTGCCGTTGTTATGTACCTGCGACTCATAGAGACGCTAGGTACAACAGATCTGAACTCTGCCTTATCCTGAATCAGTCTCACTGACTTCGACAAATCTAATCCCACTGCCCGTTATTGTGTCAATCCATCTCACCCAGGGTCTCCCTCTCTCGTGTGGTCCCTCCACCCTTCCAAGCATGAGTCCTTCTCCAAGAACTGGGTCCCTCCTGGCCACATGCCCCAAATTTGTAAAATGGAGCTTCAAAATCCTTGCCTCCAAAGAGAAACTTTGTTTCACTCTCTCCAAGAAAGACCTATTTGTTCTCCTGGCAGTCCAGCACCACAACTCAAAGGTATCAGTTCTTCTTCTGTTATCCTTAGTCACTGTCCAGCTCTCTGATGCACAGCAAGTAATTACATGGATTAGGTACACCTTAGTCTCTAGACTGACATCATTGCTCCACAGCTCTCTGGAGAGGTCCCTGACAAAAGACTTTCCCAATGCAATTTGTCTTTTGATTTCTTGACTGCTGGTGCCAAGAGTGTTGGTTGCTGAGCCAAGCAAGCTGAAATTGTTAACAATCTCAATCTCTTCTCTATCCATCATGGTGCTGCCAATTGGCCCAGTGGTGAGACTCTTTGTCTTCTTGATGTTGAGCATCAATTCATATTGAAGACTACAGTCCTTGACCTTCTGCAGCAAACACTTCAGGTCCTCCTCAGTTGTATCATCTAGATAACGCAAGTTGCTGATGAGTCTTCCTCCAATCCTGATGCCATATTCCTCCTCCTAAAGTCCAGTCTCTTAAAAAGACACAAATGCCTTTGTTCCTCTTGTTAGTGCAGTCAACTTCATGAAGAGAGAATTGCTCACTTGGAGATGACTGGCAAAAGTGTTTTAAGCAGATACTCTAAATACTTGAGCCCAAGCGGTTTGAACCTGAGCTGCTCAAGAGTTTTTGTTCTTCTCATCACAACTCAAATCCTTGTTAGAAATTCAGAGTTGCATGAAACTCAAAACTCAATGTCATCAAGTTAGAGCTGACTCACAGTTGACCCTTCACTGAGTTTCCAAGGCTGTAATTGCATGGAAGGAGATTGCCTACCTCTTTCCCTTGGAGCTATCGGTGGATTTGAACTATCAGAGAGGCATCACCTATGGGTTTAGCAGTGCTACTTCCTGCTGACTATGCCATGCACAAGAGTGTCCTGAAAATGATTAGAATAGGCATGTATATTTTTCTCAATGCTCTTTCGTAAACATAAAAAAAAGGTGGGACCAGGTTAGACAGTATTTTCTCACTGTTGCTGTCGTTAGTTGTCATCAAGTTGACAACCACTCATAGTGATCCTATAAACAGATGATCTGAAACGTGTCCCATCCTGCATCATCCTCACTTAGCTCTGCCATGCTGACTCCTCTTGTTAGTCGATCTTGTATCGATCCAACCTTGGGAGCTGTGGTCTTTTTCTCTTACTCTTTACTTTCCTCAGTATGGTGTCTTTTCCTAAGGACTGCCCCCTCCTGATAACATGTCCAAAACATGTTACATAAAGTTATACCATCCTTGCCTCAAAGACATGACTGCACTTCTTCCAAGACAGATTTATTTGATCTTTTGGTAATTCATAGTAAAATCAATCCACAATCAACACTCATGGTAGCAGCAATCAAAAAAATAAAAAGATGTGAAAATCTGCTGTCAAGGACCTCTCCAACATGCTAAAGAGCAAGGATATAATTTAAAGACTAAGGTGCACCTGATCTAAGCCATGATATTTTCCATTGTTTAGTATGTATCAGAAAGGAGGACAATGAATAAAAAAGAGCAAAGAATTGATGTACATTTTCACAGTCCATTAAAATCATTACACGGGACTTAAAGACATATTTTAATTATCGCTTGCAGCCATATATATTCTATTTTTGGCTAAAACTACTGCACAGAATCTACTCTTTGAGAGACTCACTGGTTTTAGTGTGTTTATTGGAAGCAGGAGTGGCATCCACTTCCTAAACAACATGCCTCCAGAAACTCTATGAACTTTGATAAATGCTGATAGCTGTAGAGGGGCTTCAGGCCTTTTGTTCATTGGGTGGCTATGAGTAGTGTTCCTACTGGAAGGCAATTAACAACACTGTTTCAAAGCATGTCCTTTCGCCTTTCAGTCATAGAACTTAAGGAAAGCAAGCAAAAAGAAAAGGAGATTCAGATGACTCATTTAAGTGATCAGCAGAATAAAGCAGCAGCATAGTTCATAAAATATTGGGCTGCTAACTGATAAGTTAATATTTCAATCCACCAACCACTGTAAGGGGGGAAATGGGTGTTTCCTAGAAAGCTCCACAGCCTTGGAAACCCAATAGAAGGCTGCTAAGGGTCGGAACACACTCCACAGCAGTGAGTGATAAAGTGGGTGAGAGGGAAGAAGTTGTGGTCTTAGATTACTATTCATCTTCCTGTTGGATTTTAAAGATATTCAGTTATTTATTTTAAACTCATTAGTCATTTACCTTTACTCTATAAGCCTTTATTGCCTAGGAAGACTAGGATTCTGATAGCTCTATAGGATGAGATTCACCATGAAATCTGCCAGCATGTGCCCCCTCCGTCATTCTGTGTAACATGTTTCTTTCCCTGTGCTTGTTATACACCCTGATTCTTTTTCTCTGGTATTGTAACAAATTAATACCACGAAGTCTAACCCAGGATTCTGGGTTACAGAATATGACAACATCTTCTAAGTCAAGAATAAATTTACTGTGTGCCAAAGTCATTATAGATATTTTAAAACAACAGATTATGCCTGATTATTCTAATGGTATAGACTGCTTACAAAATATTTTATTAACACATTCTGAGATTAGCTATGAGAATCAGGTATCCTGTTAATTCTTTTTCTCTAAGGTCTCTCAGATACCCTATTTGTTGACTGTAATACTAAACTACAGGAAGTCACATATTCTGATTAGTTACTGAATAGTTTCCAAAGTTGGTTGTTTTTAATATGTTAAAAAAGTCCTTACCATGAACTTTGTTTCACCCTTTGACAAAGTATCTGTAATAAAATTGACCTTTTGTAACTGTTCCACAACTCGATGTAACAGCTTTGGCTGTAGAATCAAAATAAGGGTATAAGGAAAACAGTTATTCTGCTATACAAAAAAAAACCCTATTTTTAACGTGATTTTTCTAATTATCTAGGGTTAATGTCCAATTTTCCTATATTTTGTATAACTATCATTCCTCTTATAGGAAAAACATCTTATCAAATGAAATATGTTTTTGGAAACATTTGTTTCACAATGAGCATATCTCAAAACAAATATCATTAAATCAGATTATTAGCTGATAAGATATTTGAAGATATATCCCGAACCCAAAAATGGTTTGCTTTTATGGTTTTCTAACACAGGTAAATTTCACAATCTCATATTTTAAATAGAAAAATATCCTTTTCAATGAAAATTATTTAAAAAAAATCTATGCTGGCTAGTAAATAATACTGGAAACACTACTAAATTTTTACTTTCAAATGTTAAACTATTCTACCAATTCCTTGTGGATAAACTATCTCTTGTAAAAAATTACTTTTCTTTCACAAAAATAAATCAGATAAAAATACTCCATGTGACTTTTCAGAAAGACTAGAATAAAAGCTTATAATTAAAGTATCCCACTATCATTTATGATATTCACGGCTATGTGAGACTGGCTGCATTTAATTATAGGATTCTGAGGCACCTGTTTGGCAGACTCAGAGGTAAAGCTTGGATGGGTCAGAAGAACATCCATATCCCCACTGGACTCTGCACCTAGCAGGACAAAGGATACATATTAGATTTTCCACATACATTTATCAGTTAAGTAAACACAAGCCCAACTTGATGATACATATTATAAGAGCCTTACTTTTTACAGACTAACTTTCTTTTTCATTGTGCTTCATATTCAGAATTAGTTAAAAGGTTTCAGTGTTCTAACTTTAGGTGCACAAATACAGACAGTAGCATCTGGAATAACAACAGCAATTGCATTAGATATGTGTTGCATATAAGTAATTAATTTCATGTACTAACAATATCCTACTCTATACTGAGTAAAAATAGCATTTAAAAATGGTTTCAAATGTATCTATTAACAATGTAACTAAAAAACAGAAAACTAAACAATATACTTTAACTATTAAAAGACCTATTGTGATGGGAAAGTCTGCTGTTAGGGACCTCTCCAAAGTACTGAAGAGCAATGGTGTCACTCGGGAGACTAAGGTGCATCTGATACAGGCAATGGTCTTTGCAATCACTTGTTATGCATCAGAGAGTTGGACAATGACTAGGGAGGATAGAAGGAGAATTGATGCCTTTGAGCTGCAGTGCTGGAGAAGAGTTTTGAGAGTGCCATGGACGCCAAGAAAACAAACAGATTCATCCCAGAGAGGGTTAAACTGGGCGGCTCCTTGGAGGCAAGGATTCTGAGGCTTTGTCTGACATACTTTGGACATGTTGTAAGGAGGAACCGGTCCTAGGAGAGGGACATAATGCTTGGGAGGGTGGAGGGATGGCGCAAGAGGGGAAGACACTCTATGAGGTGGCTTGAATCAGTGACTGAGGTAATCAGGATGGGTGTGTCAGAGGCAGCGTGATTGGCACAGGATAGAGCAGGGTTTAGGGCTGGTGTACATAGGCTTGCTATGAGTCGCAAGCAACTCAACAGCACATAACAACAATAACAACATCACAGATTAATCAGGAAACTCACGTAAATTTTTATAACTAAATTTATGATGTGAAAACTGGTAAGAACTATTACTTCAGTATTATGGAGGACATATTATAGCTATTGTTAGGTGCCAGCAAGTCAACTCCAAAGTACAGCTACCATATGGACCTCAGATCAACCCTGTGCAATACTCACAATTTCTGCTTTGTTTAAGCCATTGCTGCAGCCACTGTGTGTATCCATCTTGTTGAAAGACTTTCTCTCCTTTACTGAATCTACTTTTCCAAGCATGGTATCTCTTTCCAAGGACTGACTCATCCTGTTAACATGCCCAGAGTATGTGAGATGGTAGGATGAAATCTCATCACCCTTGTCTCTAGGGAGTACCCTGGCTGCACTTCCAAGCCAGATTTATCTGTACTTTTGGCAGTCCACAGTATATTCAATATTCTTTGCCAACATCACAATTTAAAGGCATCCATCCCTCCATAAGTTAGACTGATAAAAGTCTTTCTTATTCCCTGGCAACTTTCATATGCATCTGAAGCAACTGAAAATACCATGGCTTGGGCTTTTTCAGAGACTGCCAAACCCTGGCTGGACCTCATTCTCCCCTTCCTCCCTGCTCACAGCCGTAATACAATGGTTTGACACTCCACTGCCCACTACCACAAACACCAGGGACTGAAGTCAGGAGCACCTTAAACAGACATCACTGCTCTTTAGCATTTTACAGAGGTACTTGGTAAATTTGCCCAGTGCAACAATACACCTCCTGAGTTCTTTACTGCTGCTCACATAGCTGTTAATTGTGGACCCAAGTAAAATGAAATAATTGAAAACGTCAATATTTTCTCCATTTACTGTGAAACTGTCCAATTATGAGGATTAGTGTCCCTTTGATGTTGAGTTGCAATCCATCCTAAAAACAGCATCTTTACTCTTACTCAGTACACACTAACTCTGAAATGATTAATCGGGAAACTAATTTCAGTGTTTATAATTGAACTTAGTGAAAACTGGCAAAAATTCAGGTCCTCTTTATTTACAGCAACCAAGATTGTGTCTTCTATATATTGCAGGTTGTTGATGAGTTTTTCTCATCCTGATGCCACATTCTTCTTCCTTCGGTCCAGTTTCTACTACTGCTTGTTCAGCATACAGATTGAGGATAAGGACATAGGATTTTGTAATGACTTCAGCCTTTGGTTTTGATTTCCATCTTATTAGCTGTGCTGCCAAACAAAAGTCAGGCGGTTCAAATCCACCAGCTGCTCCTTGGGAGAAAGGTGGACAGTCTCCTCCCTTGTGATTTACTGCCTCCAAAAACCTACTAGAGGGTCATCTATGAGTCAGTTCTGATTTTCTAGTACACAATGACAAGATAACAATACCGAGTTTTCATAATATACTATTATATATTACTATATAATATAAAATTCTATTTCCATCTAGGTGGATTTTTTTTTTAAACTTTTAATGTCTTTTTTCTCCACTGCAAATGAGAACTTCTTATTCCTACAGAGCTCAGGGGTTTTGCTTGTAAACGTCTAAAAACTACTTCACAGGTTACTGAATATCTAAACAAGAACAACATAAAATGTAAAAATGTAATGTAAAATTACATCAAGCACAATGTTTGGCAGACAACTAACATAGTATAATCCTATTTATCTCCCCTTTTCTTTCGTTCTTCAAAAGCGGACTATAAATGCCAAACTCTCTGCCATTCAGACAGTTCCGGCTCCTAGAACTGTCTCAAGTTCAGGACAGAGCAGAACTGCCCCACCACAGGGTTCCCAAGGCTGTGACTATTTCTGGAAGCCAACTGCACAGACTTCTTCGGAGTAACTGATGGGTTAAGCAGCTGAGTGTGTAACCACTATACCACCAATGCTCCCTCTTTACGTCTTGGACCAGTTTTATTTTATACAAAAATGGAGACGTCCAGAGTCTCCTTAACTCCCTCATGACCCTCCTATTATCTTCTCCTCTCCTGGTGGATTTCGTATAATGAACTAAAGTCCAAAGTTTACATGGAGTTCCTAGGTGGCACAGTACTGGTCAAAAGGTTGGCTATGCAATCTACCTAGACACACCTCAGAAGACAGGTATATCTCTGCTTCTAAAATGCCACAAACTTGAAAACCTTATGGAGACAATTTACTCTGCATATATGGGATAATCATGAGTCAAGACTGACTTGACAGCAATCAGCAACAAAGATGACATTTCTAAGAGTTTTGATATATGCACAGTGGCAAGTATCCATCATTCTTTATCATATAAAACAGTCTCATTATCTGGGAAGTCCCCTGTGCTCCACCTATTTTATTTCTCCCTCTCTTGCTTCAGGACTATGGGAACCTCTGGCAGTCACTGATTTTTTACAATCTATGTAAGTTCCCCCCCACATCCCTGGGTAACACTGATAGAAACAGAGGATGCTGGCTTCTTTCCCTTAGCAACAGGCATCTGAGGTTCCTCTACGCCCTTTTGTGGCTTGCTATTTTATTTATTTATTTTTTTATGTCAAGATACTTTATTTTTAAAACAGGTCACAACACTAACCTTTGGCCCATTCTGCCCCTGGACAAGCTACAAATGCTTGCTCAGCAGCAGGGTGCATTCTTTAGTAGCATGTGTGAAAAGTGAATAAAAATGTATATAAAACAAATATTCAAATAGTTTCCATAGGAACACAGATAAGTGTGACCCCATCGCCTAGTCTTCCATACTGTTCCATCCCACCCTACTCATATAAAATTCCAAAACTAACAATAATTAAGTTAAATGGTCCCCCCAAATCCCTTAATTCAAGCGAAACTTGGAGTTGACAGCTACCAAAATGATATCTACACACTAATACTAGCTGAAGCACAACTTGTTGGATGCCGTTTCATTCCAATTTCCCAAGCACAAGACAAGGGCAGAGTGCTGACATCCTGCTCCTCCACTTTGAGTGGATACTCTTGGTTCTTGATTTGCTGCATGAGTTGCCATGTTGGCCCAGACAGCACACAGTAAATAGTTGGCCTCTGGAACCCATTGAAATAGAGGCAGCAGCAACAGTGTAAGCACCCATGTTTTCAAACAACATCCAGTCCCCCACATGCATTTCTGGCAGGTTACAGCGCTCAACAATCCAATCCAGACCATCACATGTTGGTCCCCATATGCTAGATGAGTAATACTTCTCATCTGGTTTGGGTCTCTTTTGCAGCAGGGGCTTTACATGTGCATGATCGTAAAGGATGCAGTTAAATGAGCCATAAACCCCATCATTCACATAATACATGAAGGTTTGTTCACTCGATTCATCTTCATCATCAGAGTCCGTCTATTCTTTTAACACAAATTACTCGGCAATGATATTAACAGCAAGAGTGAAAGCTGATGCAACATAGTATCTGCCTGGCTCAGCTATGATTTTTACTCCACAGTCTGATGGAAAATACTTGTCCAATGCCGGATTGATTACATTGGTGATCTTCTCAAATTTAAGCTAGTTTATATTTTTATTGTAGAATTCCATCCAGTAGAGAGATACGAGTTTACTTACCCATTCACCTATCAAATTACATCTTGGTTTCTTCTAATATTTGGCAATTAAAAATGAACTTTTATGAACATTCGTCTTCAGGTTTTTGTGAGAATTATCAATTTGTGTAAACATATAGGAGCTAATTTCTGGATTACACGGGAAGACTATGTTTAATTTTGTAACTGTCAAACTACCTTCCCAAGGTTCTACTATTTTGCATCCTCAACAGCAATGAACAAGAGTTCCTGTTGCTCTACACCCTACCAAGTGTTTTGAATTTTAGTCATTTATATACGTTATTACTGTTACACAGATCTGCAACTCCTTAGCAGTATAGAATAGTGAGCATCTTTTCATACAATTCTTTGCCCTATGAGATGAGGTGTCTGTTCAGATCATTTACACACTTTTTAATTTACATACTTACTGTTGAGACTGAAGAGTTCACTGTATATTCTGGATACAAGTACTTTATCAGTATTTTCTCTCAGTTCTTTCTGAACTTTCTGAAAATGAAACTTGTCTTTTCATTTTCCTCATGTACAGACTTTTTTTTAAAAAAAAATATATTTCTCTGGTTCACAGACTTAAGTAACAGGTTCACTTCACTCTTTCATTCTCCAAATGTGGAAACTAGACTCTGGAAAGGTGTGTCGGTGGGGTAATGGTGAAAGTACAAAGCAAAAGGTCAGCAGTGGTTTTAACACAGCAGCTGCTCTGCAAGAGAGAAGTCATGGCAGTCACTTCCGTAAACAGTTACATCTTGGAAACCTGATGGGTAAGCCCTAGTCTGTCTCCTAAGGTTGCTGTCAATTAGAATTGACTCGAGGCAAAGAGTTTGCTTTGGTTTGGTTAGAAGGAAGATGGTAGCAGTGGATCTGGCTTCAGAATACAAATCTTTTGGCCTCAATCCAATGTCCTTTCTACACGACGAATTATTTTCTTCTCCCTGACTTACAGTATTTAGGATTGTTTCATCACTTCCATCACAAACTCAGTGCAACAAACTTCACTTTATGAAGTTTGGCAAAACTTGCTCAATACATCTCGTGATTTCCTGACTGCTGGTTCAAAGGAAGCGGGATATGGATCCAAGAAAGATGAAATCGTTGAAAATTTCAATTTTTTCTCCATCTATTATGATGTTGTTTTTTGTCCAGTAGTCAGGATTTTTGTCTTATGTTGAGATGTAATCCATACTAATGGCTGTAGTCTTCGACTTTCTGCAGCAAACGTTTCAGGAAGCAAGGCTGTATCATCTGTATAACACAGGTTGTTGGTGAATTGTTCTCTGATCCTGATGCCATGTTCTCCTTAATAAAGTCCAGCTTCTCAAATTATTTGTTCAATGTAGTTTGAATAGGTATGGAGAATAACACAATCTTAATACAAATCTTTCCTGATTTTAAATCATGCAGTGTTCCCTTGCTCTGTCCAGACAACAGCTTCAAGGTCTCAGTAAAGTTGGGTGTAAGCATAATTAAGTGATCTGGGATTCCATTCTTCACAATGTTAGCCACTGTCTGTTATGATCTACACAGTTAAATGCCTTTGCATAGTCAATAAAACACAAATAGACATTCTTTTGGTGCTCTCTACTTTCAGCCAGGATCCATCTGATATCAGCAATATAACCCTGGTACTGCAGTCTCTTCTAAATCCTGCTTAAACTTCTGGCAGTTCTCTGTCATTGTACTGTTCTAGCCATTTTTGGATGATCTTCAGCAATATATTTTTTGCATATGAAATTGGTATTACTCAATAATGTTCACATTCTGTTGGGTACAGATAGTACAGACCTCTATTTATATTTTACCTATATATACACACTTATCTATATATACACACCTACAATAAAGTTTAGTTTATAAATTAGGCACAGTAAGGAATAAATAATAATTAATAAGATAGGATATATATAACAATATACTGTGATGAAAGTTATCTAAGATGAAGAGAGTTGAATGACGTACATTGTGATGTGGTATCAACAGCAGAAAATTAAAACAACAGGAAACAAAACCACAGCTAAGGGAAGATTATTGTATATTGTGTGATATACTGTGTGTATATTTAACCAGGTACAAATAATGTAACATCAGAAGTACTTTACCTCTTCTAAAACTGCCACAAACTGTAGCAATGTATTCAGAATCCACTTTTTTGACTTCACTTAGTACAATATCCTGGCAGAAGAAAAACATGTCACCATAGAACTGGGTTTTCCCTAGATGATTTTCTGAATTCTAATCAGGTAATGAGAGTCAGTGAACTCTTACTTGCATTTCTAACATTTCTTCACGTGGAATTCTTTTTTCAAAGTCCTCAAAATATCTAGAATAAATAGACAAAATATTTTGGTGAAATTTAAATCTCCTTAATAATGTAATTGCCTATCCCAGCAAATCAGCAAAAAGTTAACAAAAGAACTCATTAGGAAAGCAACTATAACATTTGGAGAGGGTATTATTATTGAATTTAAGTAGAAATTCTCAAGGGTTATCTTTTCTAGCACATATAATGACTGTACTTTTTTCTTTTTTATGAGCCAACTTCACATTCATATGATAAGAATGAGTAAACAAATATATTTAAGTTAGCCCATGTTTCCAAAGGAGAACTAACAAATTCTTTATTAACAAGTTTAATGGGTTACTTCCTTGATCTTAAATACTATAAGATTACTATATATTAAAATATAATCCTATAATATGGATGAGCTATAAAAACATTATGCAAAGTGAAAGATGTTGGTTGTAAAAGATTACAGATTAGATGCTAACTTCATATATGAAAGGCCCACACAGACAAACATAGATACTGAAAGCAGATTAATGTGTTGTGGGGAAAGGGAGGTGGTGGCTGGGGGATTAGGAAACAACAGCCAACGGGTACAGGAGTTCTTACAACGGTAATTATAGTAACAACTGCACAATTATAAACATATTAAATGGAATTGTGTACTTTAAATAGGTGAATTGTTTGGTATGTGAATTCTCTCTCAATAAATCTACCACTAAAAACATCTCACTATAAACAATGTTTAAGAATTATGTCAAAATGATGTCTCAGAGACACTGGTTGAAAAATCAGTTCCCATGACAACTAGGTTCTTCAGAATATCTCCACTTACTATGTGATATGACAAAAGTGAGAACACCACCCTCCTGGTCTTTTACTGGCTTCAAGTTCTGGAACGGTAGTATACGTTTGAAAACATTCTGGTAAGTGACGAGCAAGAAAGTTCGGAAGGTTATTAGAAGTGAATTGCCAAGACTGCTACATAAAACTATGCTTGTATAGGAAATAATTAATTAGAAAGAGGGTTTCATGCACACCCATGTTTATCGCGGCTTTGTTCACAATAGCAAGGAGTTGGAAACAACCCAGGTGCCCATCAACAAAAGAATGGATAGAGAAGCTGTGGTATATTCACACAATGGAATACTAAGCTGCACTGAAAAAACAAGGAACTCATGCAATACTATTCAAAATGGGTGACCCTGGAGGACATTATGCTAAGTGAAATATCTCAGTCGCAAAATGACAAATATTGCATGGTTCCACTGCTGTAAAATGGGACTGATATCAGAGTTGGGGTAAGACTGAGAAAAACTAGATAAATTGTGTATACTGCACTGAAACAGATGAGGGAGACAATAATTCAAAAGCGATGTATGACAGCGTATTATGGTTACCACAAGAGTCCACAATTAAGGTTGCATAGTGGAATGTACTTGGGGTGGTGGGAGGGGTGCGGGGGGATTGTGTACCAGGGAGGAAGCTTTACTTTTCAAAGAAAGGAGCAATCTGGGGGCACATGGGGATGGGGCGGGGGGGCTGAGCTGGGAGAGAAGTGCAGCAATGAATGAATGAAAATCCAAGGTCTCTGTAAATGTTCATGAAAATTATTAAAATAAAAAAAATTTAAAAAAAAAGAGGGTTTCCAGATTACATCTGGTATACAATTAATTACTCATGATAATATTAAAAGCCTGCCTACCAGTTGTTCCTATACAGCTATTGAAGTGTTTGGGGTTTTTGTCTCTTTTATTTCATTTTTCACATTCATATCTTTTCAGGATGACTATAAGCTTCTTAAAAGCTAACAGTGAACTTCTAAATTCTTAAAGCCTGATTTTCATGTTGTTGTTAGGTGCCGTCAAGTTGTAGATGACTCATAGTGACCCTATGAACGAAAGATCTGAACACTAGTATAACTTTTATCACTTCTCCAAGTTCCTAGTTTCTGGAGGCAAGCCTGATATGGTGTTTTAAATGTCATATGTACTAAAATACACCCTGACTGATGCACTAAGTTCTTTGCATTTTAACAGGAAATTTTCTACTAAATTAGGAGGATAAAAGAAATTCTTAAGACAAACTAGAAAGCAATTAACAAAATGTGTGAACACAGGCATAGATTCTACTCTACAGGAACTCAACAAATCTTACCACTTCCAAACAGAAAAATGGTATATTTCGCTAATTTTGAAACGACAGTATGGTACTTGGAATAATGTTGTTGTTGTTGTTATGTGCAGTCAAGTCGCCTGCGACTCAGAGCGACCCTATGTACAACAGCCCTAAACTCCGCTCTGTCCTGTGCCAATTGCACTGTCTCTGACACTCCCAACCCAATTATCCCAGTCACTGAATCAATCCACCTCATAGAGGGCCTTCCCCTCCTGCGCCGTCCCTCCACCCTCCCAAGCATAATGTCCCTCTCCAAGGACCAGTCTCTCCTCACAACATGTCCAAAGTATGTTAGACGGAGCCTCAGAATCCTTGCCTCCAAGGAGCCACCCGTTTTAACCCTTTCCAGGACAAATCTGTTTGTTTTCCTAGCAGTCCATGGTATTCTCAATACTCTTCTCCAGCACCACAGCTCAAAGGCATCAATTCTCCTTCTATCCTCCTTGGTCATTGCCCAACTCTCTGATGCATAACAGGTGATTGCGAAGACCATGATCAGATGCACCTTAAGTCTCCAAAGAGATACCATTGCTCTTCAGCACTTTGAAGAGGTCCCTAACAGCAGACTTTCCCATGGCAATGCGCCTTTTAATTTCCTGGCTGCTGGTGCCAAGACTGTTGACTATGGAGCCAAGCAAACTAAAGCTGTGTACAATCTCAATCTCTTCACCATCCATCCTGATGCTGCCAATTGGTCCAGTGGTGAGAATATTTGTCTTCTTGACATTGAGCCTCAATCCATATTGGAGGCTGCAGTCCTTGACACTCTGCAGCAGGCCCTTCAGGTCCTCCTCAGTTTCAGCAAGCAGGGTTGTGTCATCCGCATAACGCAGATTGTTGATAAATCGTCCACCAATCTTGACCCCACATTTCTCCTCATAGAGCCCTGCCTCCCGGATAATCTGTTCTGCATATAGGTGGAAAAGGTATGGAGATAGGATACATCCCTGGCGTACGCCCTTCCCAATTTTGAACCATGCATAGTTTAGAAAAAAAAATTTTACTCTTATATCTAAGTGACAAAAGAAATTGCTTTCTTACTTTAGCCCAATTCGCTGATGATGGTTTAATTTATCTTCATTTTTCCTGAGATCTGTATAAAGGACATATAAAATTAAAGTGTTAATTTAAATTTTTTAAAAGGCCAAGATAAACGACCTTCTTTTATAAAGAATTACACTGAGAATATTTTTAAAAATTTAGACATTAAGAACTACATAAAAGAGATTCCAAATTACTGTAGTAAAACCTAATAGGTTATTTAATGATCAACTTCAATTACAGAATCAAAATTTCCCATGAGGGTTACACAAAACAGTACATAAAACATATCAGGACCATATCAAATTTCAGTGGTTATAGCACAAAGAAATCTTCAAAGAACATGTATTTCATCTATTATCTTATTTTTGCAATGGGAAAAACCTCATTAAGTCATATCTTAAGCCTAGTAAAAGGCATGTGACTATGGGTATCATAACAAATTATGGTTAACATAATGTGTAACATCGCAAAGAAGGGACCACTGGAACATTTCATCAGGTTCATATAGAACCTGTACAAAGAACAGCTGCTCGAACAAAACAAGGGAATACTTTCAGGCTTAAAATCAGGAAAAGTTTATGTCAAGACTGTTTCTTTTCAACATACTTATTCAATCTGTATGTTAGGCAAATAATTCTAGAACCTGAGTCAAATGAAAGAGAACAAGGCATTAGGGTTAGAGGAAGAACAACCTACATTATGCAGATGACAAAACCTTGTTTGCTCAAAGGGGATTTGAAGTACTTACTATTCAAGATCAAAGACAATAATAGCCTTTAAAAAAAACCCCTCAAAACCCCCCTCTTGTAATTAGATCAGTAAGTGTGATAAATACAGACAAGACTGAAAGTGTCAAGGACTTAATGTCTTTAAATTAAAATTTACTGACTTAGAATTTTGCCATGGAAACAGAAGTCAAGAAATAAAATATTTTATTGGTCAAACATGCTGCCACAATCTCTTTAATGAGCAAGGATGTCACTTTAAGGTCTTAGGTGTACCCGACTTAAGCCGTGTTATTTCCAATCGTTGTAGTGCATGTTTAAGTTGGAAAATGATTATGGAAGATCTAAGAATATGAAGAAGCTTTGCATCATGGAGCTGATAAAGAATACTAAATATACCATGGACTTCCAGATTCTAGGACAAACAACCCGATCTTGGAAGAAGCACAGCCAGAATGCAGCTTAGAAAGGGAACATGGCAAGCCTTCATCTCACATATACTGGACATACACTTAGTGAAAAAGCATTGTGGAGAGAGAGGAAGATCCTACATGAGATGGACTGATACAGTGACTGCAACAATGAACTCAAACACTGCAATGAGGGTGAGACTGACGCACAACCAGGCAGTGGTTCACTCTGTTGTACAACAACAGAAGTGACTTTGTTCTATGTAGGTGTTCCTTTCTGGGAATGAGCCACAAGTGCGTGAGTCTGGAAGGCACCTAATAACAAAAACATGCTTCAATAGAAAATCCTAATAATCATTATTTACTAGTTAACCTTTACATTCAATGACTCAAACTCACTCATTGCTCTCCAGTCAGAATTGAGTCACAGCTGATCTCCAATGAGTTTCCAAAGCTGGAGAGCTCATGAGAGGAGACTGCCCATATTTCTCCCTCAGAGGTGCCAATGGATCCGAATCACCAGAAAGAGTTGGCCTTTGGGTTAATGGCACAACTCTACAGCTCTACCACAGCTCCTTTAAAACATATAAATCCCTCTAGACAAAATAAAGCACCTTCATGATATGCTGTTGTGTTGTTAAGTGCCGTTGAATTGTAGGCAACTCATAGTAGCCCTATGAACGAAAGTCCTAGATACTTGCATGACTTTCATCCTTTCTACAGGTTCATAGGGTTTCCGGAGGCAAGCTATTTACAGAAGTGGATGCCACTCCTGCATCCAAGCTAACTGGGGAGTTCCACCCAACACCATCCACCACGGGGAACCATTATCACATTTGACACATCAGTGTCACAGTGTTCAGCCTCACAGCAACCACAAGTTACCGCTGTATGGCAAGTGGACACACCAGGGCTATACGACCTAGAAAAATGTTTGACCAACCACTTATTTCCTATAGTTGTATGCACACAGAAAACACTAAATCATCCCCCCTCCCCCGCAAAAAAAAAGATGGAAATACTTAAAGCATATATTACACATCAAGCTTAGAAAGGTAGAGGGTCAGGGAAGGAGGAGACCCTTGACAAGATGGACTGATCTGGTGGCTCCAATGGGATCAAGTATCTCAGAGATGATGATGGCACAGGAGAGGACACGGTTTAAGTCTACTGTCCATAGAGTTGTAATCAACTTGATGGCCCTTAATCACACACACACACACACACACAAATATATATACACACATGCCTAATTTTTAAAAACTATCTTTTATTGTTCTTATTAATAATATACATATAAATAATTTACAATTCAGTGGTATTGATTCTTTTTTTTTAGGGGACATTGATGTTTTTTATTTTGTGCATAAAACCAATGAAGATGCTGCCTGTTAACATGTTGGGGATCACATCATGGTACACATGGCCTGTGACTCAGTGGGAAACACATTGAGGAAAACAATGATTTGGGCCACTCACATGATGACTAATCTAGGGTTTCCAACAGGGTTCCAGATGGTTAAGCCTGGCTTTGGGAGCAGCTCTACTGAAGCAGTAAGAACATGACCAGGAATGGGGAAGGGAGTTAACTACCAGAGGCCCTGCAGTACTGGTCTGATGCCTGGAGATGTCATTTGCATCAGGAGCAGAGGTCTAATCAGCTGACTGATCAGGAAATTGGCTGCCCAGAGCGTAGCTGGCGAAAGGGTTTCTGAACTTCCAGCCAGGAACTGAGCCTTGCTGCCCAGCTCCTCTTCAATGCTGAGGATCTGGTTGTACTTGGCCAAGCGCTCAGATTGGCCAAGGTGCATCTGTCTTGATCGGGCCCATGCATAGGCCCACCCAGTCAGCAATGAAGGCATCCTCGATTTCTCAAGAACGATGAGACACCACAACGCCCTGACCATTGGACTGGGCTAGCTTGCACGCCTGAAGATACTCGGTCACAGAGCCGATCTGATTCACTTTGAGCAGAAGACAGTTTCAGGACTTCTCATTCATAGTCTTGGAAATTTGCTTGGGGTTCGTCATGGTGAGATCGTCTCCTACCACCTGGATCCGTGAACTGGCAGGGAACTTCATTCAGGTGCTCCAGTCATCCTGGTCAAAGGGATCTTCGATAGACACTGGGCAGTTCCTGATGAAGGACGTGTAAAGGTCTCCCAGCTAGTCAGGTGATATGTACCTGCTGTAGTCATCAGGAGACTTCAAGTCCAGGTCATACTTCCCAAAGCGTAAGAACGCCGAGGCAGCAACATCCATGCCGATCACCCTCTTGTCAGTGTAGCCAGCTTTCCCAATGGCAGTCTTCAGCAGTTCCAGGGCTTGTTCTCCAGAATGTTAGGGGCAAAGCCACCTTCACCCCCCTCATTGGTGGCATCCTGGCTGTACTTGTTCTTGGTGATGTTCTTCAGGTTGTGGTAAACCTCAGTCCCAAAGCCCATGGCTTCTTTGAAGCTTGCTGCTCTGTCAGGGAGGATCATGAACTCATTTATGGTCAGCTTTTTGCCAGCTTGAGAGCCACTGTTGATCACACAGAAATCAGGAACTGGCAGAATGACTTCGGAATTGCTGGCTAAGCCAGCAATGTGCCAATACTGGGGGACTCCCTTCTCAATGGCTCCAGCCTTGCAGACAGCAAGAGACATGGCTAGAGTGGCATTGGCACCAAATTTTGATTTATTCTCAGTTCCATCCATCTCAATCATCAGCTTGTCAATCTTCTCCTGTTCCACAACATTTAATTTCTTGCTAACCAGGGCAGGTGCAATAGTTTCATTGATGTGCTCAACAGCCTTTGAGACACCTTTCCCCAGATACCGAGTCTTATCATTGTCCCAGAGCTCCAGAGCCTCACAGATACCAGTTAATGCACCACTGGGCACAGCAGCTCTGAAGAGACCTTTTGCAGTATAAAGATCAACCTCAACAGCGGGATTTTCACAGGAGTCAAAGATCTCTCTGGCATGAATCTTTATAACAGACATAGTGAATTTCTGGGGGGCTGGTTCTCGTCACTAAGGAAAGCTGTGGAAGGCGCTACAGACAAAAAGATGAGCGTTTGAGCAAAGAGGTACAGGAGCTCCGATTCCCAGGTATTCTGTCCTCGCGGTCTCTCAGTATTGATCACTTTCTTCAAGTTATATAATCTTTTCTCACCTTCCATTTCTAAGCTCTAACATAAGTTTACTAATCTCTAATGTTCCTACTTCGTCTTTTGAGTTTCAATTGTCAATTTTATCATATATTGACAGCACAATGCTCAAGAGAGACATTCTTTACCAGTTAAGACAAACAATTGTTTGGTTTAGAGACAGCTTCAAATGTTATTTTTGACTTAGGGTTTAAAGATTAGCTCAAGGTGATTGTTTCAGGAGTTCATTTAGCCTCCATGAAGATTTTAAATTCTGTTAATTTCCCCCTTTTTGATCAGAATTCTTTTAAAGAATCTTGAAAACATTCTGGAACGGTCAGTAGGCACCTTCTCGTTCTTCTGGTCTCACGGCACAAAAGGCAGCTGTTCACAGGAGCAAGCTTTCTCTACTGCTTTTGATAAGGAGAGAGTACTTGCAAGCTTTCAAGTCCATAAACATTATATAAAGAATGAGGAGGTAGAACAGAAGCACTAAATACACATTATTTGGGAATTAAGTGACTACTTTTAAGAAATCCACACATGCATGACCCTAATCAAACCACTTAAGAAATCATTTCACTCAGGTAAACTGCGTATGTCACAAGCAAAGAAAACACAAACCATTTCTGAGATGGAGCTACTGAATTAATTCTCTAGCTTTAAGACACACAAACAGACTTTGTAATATCACTGATCACTAACGCTTAAGAATCATTTACCGCTTAAGTAATTATGAGAAATCAAGCACTCTGTTAAGTGCTTTACATACATTCATACATTAAACTATATGAGGCAAAATTTAAGACTGCCACTTTGTAACTGAAGCAATATAGTCATCCAGCTAATAAAGTTGTGGAGCTGGGCTTCTAAGTCAACTGTCTCCAAAACTTATTCCTCTAATCATCTGCAAATAACTGAGCCCATATAAATTAGAGCCCAAATACAATGGGTATACTAGAATGAATCTATAAATACATGAAAGACATGACATGATAAATTATATGTAAAAACTCCTGTATTAGGTTTGGAGTCCCTGTATGGTACAACTAGTAAGCACCTTTTGATACTAATCAAAAGGTTGGTGGTTCTAGCCCACACAGAAGTCCTTCAGTCTGGTAATCTCCTTTCAAAAAATCAGCTTCTGAAAATTCTACATAAAGAACACAATTCTACTCTGACAAACATAGTGTCACCATGAGCCAGAATAAACTCAACAGCAACTTTTTAAAAAACTTTATTTTTGTAAGAGATTTAAGAAAAAGATTTTCTAATGACTTGATTTAAATGATCTTCATCATTTCTTCAAAAGCAAAATCTACTTCAACAAACAAGTAAGCGTCTCACAGAATCTTTCCCAATGTATAAAAATGTTAATTTTTAGGCTGACGTGATAAGATTTCCTTGTCCAAAATTTTATTAAAAGAACAAACTCCAAACCCATGGCAGTCGAGTCAGAGCTGACTCACAGGTGACTCTGCTGCAGGTGCTCAGAGTCTGTGACCTGCACAGAAGGAGAGTGCTCATCTTCCCTGGAGCGTGAGAGGACAGTCAGAGAGGTGTCGGTGAGCAGCATAGGTCCCTAAGGGCTCCACCAGAGGGCTCCACCTAAGGACTACAACATCAGAGCTCCCCTAAAGAAACAGACAACGTAGAGCTTTCAAAATACCAAGAATTTTAAACCAAGAAGCCATCTCTTGCCCTTTTTCCTTTTCTTCTAAGTTATAAATCTAGAAAGGTTCCTTCATGTTCTAGTTTGTGACTGAACTAATGGTTCTTCAGAACCATTTTCAACTTGAATTAGTGACTTGGGATATATACTCACCTTCTAGTGTTTTAATCCCTTCATCTACAAACTTTCTTGCAGCAGATGGACTACAAAAAAATAAAAACATTAGAAATCAAATTCAGAATTTTTCTATCAAAGAACCAATAATGCTTTCTCTTGTCAAAGAGATACTATTGATCTTCTGAACTCAAAACCAAGAGCAATAAGAAGCTATGGGAGGCCTAGTGGGTAAGAAGCACACTGCCAACACAAACAGGAAATTCAAATCCACTCGAGGTTCTGTGGGAGAAAGATGGTCCAATTCCTCCCAGGTAATCTGCAGCTTCTGAAAATCCACTGAAGGGTCAGCTATAAGGTAGTTGTAACTCAATGGCAAAACCTGATAAAATGTTAAATGATTACTTTGATAATGTTCAGTTGTATCCAAAAGTAAGTATCCTTAAGTTTCAATGTTGTTGTTGTTGTTATGTGACATCGAGTCACCTGGGACTCAGCGACCCTATATACACTAGACCTGAAACCTACCCTATCCTGAGCCAAAAGACCTAACCTCCTTGCTTCAGTAACTGAGCCAATCCATCTCATCCAGGGTCTTCCTCTCCTGTGCTGTCCCTCCACCCTTCCAAATACGATGTCCCTCTCCAAGGACTGGTTCCTCATGGCAACATGCTCAAAATATATGAGATGGAGTTTCAAAATTCTTGCCACCAGAGAACAGCCTGGTTTCACCCTCTCCAGGACAGATCTGTTTGTTCTCCTGGTGGTTTATGGTATGTTAAACACTATTCTCCAGCACCAGAACTCAAAGGCATCGATCTTTCTTCTATCATCCTTATTTACTGTTCCACTCTTTGATACACAGCAAGTAAATGACCTGGATCAGGAGCACCTTAGTCTCCAGACATCATTGCTCTTCAATATAAGAGAGGTCCCTGACAGAACCTGGGCATTAAGATTATAAAAGCTGTATGCTTAGATTTCATGCCTATGGTCATAAATGTCTTCCTAACAATGAAACTTTAAGAATCCAAAAGAAAGAATTTTTAAAGTTTCAATGTTAGAAAGGTAATTATCAACTTAGGCATAGACATCTAAGCATGCATCTTCCACAATCATAATGGCCACACTGAGTTGACTTCAACTCATAATGAACCTAAATACTGCAACTTTACCCTCCCCTGCCCAATCCGCAAAGTGTTTGCTATGCTTAAGCCCCCTGCTGCACTCACTGTGTCAAGCCTGTTGTCAAGCCTCTTTCCTTCACTTTTGCAGGTATGATAACCTCTTTCAAAGACTGGCGCCTACTGATGACTTTTCCAAAAATAAGTGAGACAAAGTCTCCCTGTTCTTGCCTCTATAGAGCATCCTGCCTCCACTTCTTCCAAGAAAGCTTTGTTTCTTTTGGCAGTCCAATACTCTTGGCCAACACTAAATTCAAAGGCATTAATTCTTCTTTGTTCTTCCTTATTCCTTGTCCTACTTTCACTGAAAATATCACTGCTTGCGTCAGGCACACCTTAGACTTTAAATGGACATTCTTGCTCAATCTATTCTCCATTTGTCAAGATGCTGCCTATTGGTCCAATAATGAGGATCTGCTGTCTTTATGTTAAGGCATAATTCATATCGAAGGCTGTAGACTTTCATCTTCAGTAAGTGCTTCAGATCATCTTCACTTTCCGCAAGAGTGAATCATCTGCATAAGTTGTTGATGAGTCTTCCTTCATTTCTAAAATCTAGCTTCTCAGATTATTTGCTTAGCATACAGACTGAATAGGTATGGTGAAAGGATACAACCCTTGTACACACCTTTCCTGATTCCAAACCAGGAAGTATTCTCTTGTTCTTGGTTCACATAGAGGTTCTTGGTTTATGTATGGTTATTTATTAGCATAAATAAGTGTTCTTGAATTTCCATTCTTCTCAATGCTACTGATAATGTATTATGATCCTCACAGTCGAATGCTTTGGCATAGTCAATAATACACAAACGTCTTCCTGGTATATCCCTCAGTCAAGATCTGACATCAGTAATGACATCCCTCTGTCAAGCCTATGTAATATTCACAGATGCAGTTTCATGTGCTCTCCCATACTTGTCTGGCTTGAGTGGCTATGTAGCTACTCATAGATTTTTGTTAATACTGTTATTGCATGACAGTAGTATTTACTTTTTGTTGAAAAATGGCAAATTCTTAATGACACCAAATAAATTTAACACAAAGAAATAAAATTCTATAAAATAGGCTTCAAAGTCATAAGATAGCCTGTTAAGTGATACTAAACCCCCCTAAAATGTCCATGATAAATATAATGTTCAGAAAGGCAAAGGAGGAACAAACTAGAAGGGCTGATAATATGTATATAAATAAATGTTAATGGAATTCTGAGGAATGAGACATTATTTCTGGCTGGAGAATCAAATGGATATATGAAGGGGTAACATTTGCCTTGTCAGAGGCTTCTACAATAGCAGCAGCAACTGAGAACTGTCTTCAGAGACAAAAACTATAGACAACTGAACTGTATGGGCAAAGGCAAAGAGATGGAAAGGTACAGGAAACAGCATATTATTTAGCTTGGATGACAGTAAAAATAAAATCAACTACTGCCTGCTTAAAATAATTCTTACCCAATGCCAGTAACCCGTGTCAGGAAATTGATGGATGAACTTGTATCATCTTGTCGAATCTTAAAGGGGGGCATAAAAAGTCTATGATTTAAAAACACTCTGAAGACTCAATCTAATTGAAAATATTAACATAGTTAAGAGACATGAAGAACAATTTGCATATACCTGGATAATCTAAACAGAGATATTAATATACTATTTAGCTAGTTATATACATTTCTAGAGAAATGAAGAATTAAATTCCTTAAGATGCCTCATTTCTCATTTATTTAGTAACTTAAGAAAGTCCTTGTATAAAAGGCTAGAAGTGATAGAATTATTATAGTCATAATGGGGGAAATCCACAAAAATGCTTGGGAGAGTTTTAATATAGAAATTCTAAAAGATAATTATCTTTTGGTGAGAGCTTAATAATCTCTTTTCCGAACAGTATTGAAAACAAAGAGCTAATTTAATCATAGATGCTAAGAGTATCATAAACATAATATTATTATTTTGAACAATATTAAAAAATTTAAAAATATAACCCTACAAGCTGTAAGTTCTCGCATCTCTTTTCCTTCTGAGTCTTATGAGTGAGGGCCCTCTATTACTCTGTAATGGTTGCTACCAACAGCAGCCACAATAGCAGACACTACAACTAAATAAGTAAATAATTTCAAACCTACCTTTTCTAGCTTACGTAATTTTCCAGTCGCTAAAAACTCATCAATCTTTTCTGCAATTTTTGTCCCTACTCCAGGCTGTGTGGAAAAGGAAGAATATAAAATATGAACAAAAAAGAAAACAGTAAAAAGCTAACAAAATAAATTTTACCACACCATAAGTTTCTAAGCAAAGGAAGCATAAAATTGACCCTCCCAAAGGAAAAATGCTTAAATGACTAATTTAAGAGAACCATTACTTTTATTTTTAAGAAATTAATTTTGTTATAGAAAAATTAGAAATTTACAGTTGCATAGGCAATATTAAAAGCATTTGTTACTCTGATCACTCTAAAAAGTAAATCCTCGCACCGCACGTTCGTGGGGAGCCTGGTGCTAAACCATTCGTAGACGACCTGCTTCTGGGTCGGGGTTTCGTATGTAGCAGAGCAGCTACCTCACTGCGATCTATTGAAAGTCAGCCCTTGACACAAGGGTTTGTAAAAAGAAATAAAAATAAAAAAAGAATAATAATAATAAAAAGTAAATCCTCTTGTAACCTTATTTCTTAACTTATGGTATTTATTAACTTCTTTTTTTAATTAACTATATATTCTTTTTTTCTTAAAAAAACAGGCTTTGTAGGGTACTTTTTAAAAACTTATCATGAATAAGTTTCCTATCAATAAATACATACATCCTTAACAAATACTGAGCCAGTCATTGCAAAACCTGTTAGTGCTGGAACTCAACACAAACTGCTTTGTTTTCCCAGGTCTCCAAAATTTTCTACCTTTTTTTTTTTTAGTTTTCTACTTTTGAGAGGGTACAGACCTATTGCTTTTTTATCACTCTCTATTAAATGCTAATATTTTGAGTTTCCTTCTCTGATAGGTTTCCATCTTACACAGACTCCAGCTCTTGAATTTTACTATATTTAATTACTTAAAAATACTGATGAGGTTTTTTAAAAAGAAGTTGGAAATTTATTTCATGTGTGTCAGCATCGCCTAAGGTGTATGCTAAAACAGACTGATGAATCACACTCCAGGGTTTCAGGTTCAGTAGGTTTGGGGTGGAGTCAAGAAGCTGCATTTCTCAGAAGCTCCCAGGTGGTGCTGATCTGGCCGCTCCAGGAAGCAAATCTTGAGACTCATGGGTCTAGAACTCCCCAGCTCACCATAGTGGCTGCAAACCCCATCAGAATGAAAATAAATTCAATTGTTCAGCCACACTTGTCAGATTTCAAGAACTCAATAGCACATGGGGCTACAGTACTGGACAGAGATTCTCCAGAATACAGGCTCCAAGAGAGCAGAACCTGCCTCTTCACTGCTTTATCCTCAGTAGCAACTAGTCATGAGTGCTGACATTCATGTGCTCTAAAAACTATTAAATCCCGTGCAAACATCTCTCTATTCATTTCCTAAAGATAAAGCCCTTCCGGTGGAACTGTGGATCACAGGATATACATTTTGCCAATTACCCTTTAGAAAAGTTGAACACCTCTGTTTGCAGTAAATGGTTCCATTTCCTTCCCACATTTTCAGTCATGTTTTGTAGCATCCCCGATAATTTATAAGCATTATGTGAGCCAAAAGGGAGCTCTGGTGACCTAGTTCACAAAGAGCTGCTCTGCTAAACCAAAGGTCATGCCTTGCAGGCAATTTTAATCCACCAGAAAGATGGGTTATCTTTTCCCATGCAATATACAACCTCAGAAACCCATTGAAAGGTCAACTGTGAGATGGGTCTCACTTAAGGGCAATGAGAGAAACACAAACCAAAATAAGCCTTGGCGATACAGCAGGTAATGTGTTAGGTGGCTTACTGAAAGGCTGGCGGTTCAAATCTACCACTCACTCTGAGGGAGAGAGATAGGTAATGTCCTCTGATAAAGATGTAGTGTCTTCTGATAAGTAAGCGTAATGGAGGATGGCTGTAAGAAGGAACTGACTCCACAGCCACAGGGCTCATTTGGTTGAGTTTTTATAAACCCAAACTAAAAATATTAAACCCACAGCAATTCCAACTCAGAAGACAGAGCAGAACTGCCCCAGAGGGTTTCCAAGGTTGTATAAATCTTTACCACAGCGAACTGCTGTCAATGTTCTCCAGAGGCGCAGCTGGTGGAACCAAACTACCAATCATTTGGTAAGCAGCTGAACTGCTTTAACCGTTGTGCCACTAGAACTCACTGGCACTATGGAGTATTGTGCTTTATTGTGCAATTCTGATTAATGAAGTTCAATTTTTCCAAGTTTATTGGCCTTTTTATCCTTAAATGCTCAGCATGCACAAAAACGTTGTAGCTGTTGATTGCCACTGAGTTGAATGCAACTCACAGAAACTCTATGAACAAAAGACCTAACGCCTTTCTGTAACTATTATCATTTCTCCAAATTCACAGAGTTTCCAGAGGCATGTGGTTTAGGAAGTGGATGTCACTCTTGTTTCCAAACCTGTTTTACATCCGGAGCTCCACCAAACACTGTCCACTTTGGGAAACTATTATGGTATTTGATACCCCAATGGTACAAGGTTCAATCACAGGAAACCCTGGTTACTTCATACAGCAATCGACAAAGAGTGATGTAAAACGTGCAAGAGTGTTTCTCCAGATATAACAGCACTAGTCTCATTCAGCAGTAGTTAAGTGTCATCAAGTCGAATATGACTGAGTAAGCTTTGCACAAAAGACCTGAACTCTGCTCTATAACTAACACCATTTCTGTACATTTAAAGAGTTTAGAGAGTTTGTAGAATTTCCAGAGGCATCTAGTTTAGGAAGTGGATGCCACTCCTGCTTCCCAGCATAAATTAATCTGGAAGCTCATTCAAACATTGTACGTAACAGGTAACCATTATGGTATTTGACAAGACAATGGGACAGTGTGCAGCATCACAGCAACACCAAGTTGTTCAGTTCAGCAAACAGACAAAAGATTGCTGTTTCATTTAAGGAATACTCATTAAAAAATATTAATAAATTTGGCCTGAGGGCCGAGGACCCTGCGGGGTTTTAAAAGCCACACCTTTGAGCAGACTTCCACCCCAGGCAAAGGATCAAGGACACCCGCTCTAGGAGGGAAAAGAGCAGTAACACACATCAAACAGGACCCCATAAAAACTTCCCTTATGTGACCGACAGGGCTGCCACCAAGATGCTAGCAAGCAGCCAAACTCCAAGAGTGGAGGCTCCCAGGCCCCGGCCTGCCACACAATAAAATATACTAGTTATTTCCTAGTGTTTCCAGCCCTAACTTTACTGTTCTAGAGTCTCAAAACTACAGAATGCAAATGCCCCAATAACACAGACCACAAATTCAAATTCCAAAAATAGAAATTACCAGACAGAAATGTATAAAAGATCGAACAAACAGAACATATCAGAAAAGGGGAAGTATTCAGGCATCTCATTCCTTAAGATTAAGAAAAAGGCAAATCTTCCTCTTTATAGATACTGCTACAATAATTTCACTTTGTTAACACACTAACCTAAAGCAATTTAGTTAAAGAGAGTAACAATGGGATTTTTATATTAAGTCTAGGTTTATGTAAGAGTTTTGGATACTTTGTGCTATTTAAGAATGTGCCATAAACTTAGATTTGGAATTAAATGTATCAGTTTCTTAGAGGTCAGCCTCTAGAAAGTGAGCAGGCTGTGTCATAAACCTAAATTAAGGAAGTCTAATGGTGATCCCAAGAAGTAAAGGAGAACATAATGGAAGTAAGACTAGTTTCTCAAGTTAACACTGCGTCTGTTCTCAAAAAGAGGAATAAAACTGTTAATTATATGGATTTTTAAACTTTTAAATCCACTTTCTCCCTCAAATAAAAACACTTTGGCCTTGAAGAAGTATGCTTAAAATAACACTGACATTATTTTAAGAAATCAGATGCTTATGTGGGCTCTATATAGGTTAAGGTAGCTCCAGAGAGCTGAATTTAGGTTTGTGGGAGCTCATCAAATCTGTACATGTATAAACCCGGAAAAAAACCTGTTTGCTAACCTTACCAATTTCTTAGCTTCTGCCCCACTCTTTATTTTGTGTGGATACTTTGCGATCACCGATGCTGCTTTTCTAAAAAGAAAAGAAAACTACAACTGGTTAGAAATCCATCCAGCAAAGTGTTAATTTTTCTTAAACTGAACACACACAAAAGCAAATAGCTAATTTGAACTTTCTCCACCATCAACTACATATCTGACTTTTTAAAATACCTTGAAAAGTTTCACATTTGAAGATAATCTGATTTTAACTATATGTAAAACTAAAGAAGTTCGAGACCAGTAGGCTTTCTTATTTGAAAATAAGTAGGAGAGAAAAAGATCGTTTTCCCCCTTAAGTCAGCTTTTAAAAACTTTTATAACTTTCTTTCACAAAAATTTGTCACCGTATAAATAAACTATAATGATATAAATAATGATAATTTTTTAAAAAAGCTTCACCTTGTTTTGGTTACTAGATACCTGGTTCACTTACCTATCATGGCTATTTAAAACTTATAAAATTGCGTTTGAGTTTGTCCTTATACCAATTTTTGTCTTCATTACTCCCACTTCAATTGGGCATAAAACAGTGAGCTGTGTGTGATTCTCGCCAATCTCTATGCATGTACAGTTCAGTAATCTGGAGAGAGTACATACCTTACAGGACTTTGCTATTAGTATCCTGCCTATATATGTGATGCTAAAAGTAGTCAAGAGTTGATGCTGACAGTGATGGTATATCTAGATTAAAGCATAAATACTGGCTAGCTAGCCTTTGGAGTCTTTTTCATTATATTTTAGCATATATAAAACTTTAGGATTGTACGACAACTTAACTATAAGGCCTCTGGGTGGCACAATAATTATCTACTTTGCTGCTAACCTAAGAGCTGGTGGTTTAAGCCCACCCAGTGGCTCCACAGGAGAAAGGATCAGCCACAGACCAACCAGTTAGAAAAATGTGATTCTCTCAACCACAGCTATTTTACAGCATTGCCTTTCATTACACATTTTCAGTAATTCATGTTTGATGGTGTGCACGATATGTATTCAACTATAACTATTTTCAATCAGAAATGGGACCTGATTTTAACAGACTCTACAGAGCACCGTCCATATTTTTTCAGACATACTGCACCACACTGTCAAACCTTGGACTCTCTCTTCTTCTTTTTTTTTTTTTTTTGCAGAAGGCCCAAATATTTCCTGGACTCACCAACTCTTAACTGACAAACAGGGGCAAACTAGACAGAACCCATGCGACTAAAGCATGCCGTGCCTTCCCACCTGTAAGCGTTGTACTTGTGGATAGCCTGGTTCACGTTCTTCTCAAAGTTTGCGAGTTCTGGAAAGGCAAAGAGAAGAAGCTAGGATAAACCAACCGGAAGTGAGTATCCTGGAAGGGGGACGTGGGCAGCGACCACTCTACGGATTTAGCCAGTGGTAGCCCATGCAAAGACCCAAGAGCTTCGGGCAAAGCTAGGTGCAGGCACGGGCATCGGGGACTAATTTGCACGGAAGACGACCCGCAGTGAGGGAATGCGGGGCCATGGGAGAGAAGGAAAGCAGGGTAAAGGATGGGAGGAAAGGAAAAGCCGGTGCTAACCCGTGAGCATGTCGGTGATTCCCCCGTTGAGCGTCTCCTGTGGTGCCTTCCGCTTGCTCATGGTGGCCTGCACCCGAGGACCCCAGCGTCCCCAGAGCTGGAGACTCGCCCCCACGCTCTAGGATCATAAGGGCCCAAGACCTAACGAGGATCAATCAGCCCAGTCTCAGCGGAGACACCACCATTGAACAATGGCCGCCTCTGACAGGAGGCGCGGCGTGGCTAGCGCGGTGACGTCACGCGTACGGGGCGGTGCCTCCGTCAACTTGGGGGACGCGGGGGGCGGGGGCAGAGGGCGCTCCCACCATACGTGGGAAAAAGCGAGCAGGACACGTGTGAGGAATCCTGGGTGAGGCAGGTGGGGAGATGAGTGCCTCGCAATAGTGCCGCTTGGTGCTATGGTGAGATCTGGATTCTTCATTTCACACGATAGGTTTTTTCCATTCTATCCTCTGAATCTTGTCCTGTAAAGGAAATAGCCTGTTTTTGACTCTGAAATACGCAAAACGGTGGGGTGAAGAGATAGAATATTGAAGCCTCTTCGTGCTCTTTAACATGTGTGTTATGTGCTTTGTACATGGTAATAGCTAATGGCCTCACGACATACTTTATATGTAATATGAAATATGATGATATAAACACAAGCGTTTTTTAATACTTGTTGCATACGCTTTTGTAAGGATATGTTGTTATGGTGGTGTTTTAACACTGAGTTGGAAGTGACCCATAACTGACCCTCTGGCGGGTTTTCACAGGTAGTTAATAACATGGGAGGAGACTGCTCTACTCTCTGGGAGCAGCTGGTAGACTTTAACTTGTGCCTTCGAAATAGCAGCGCAGCTTCTTGCCAGTAGGTCACCAGAGCTCCATTTGTAAAGATGTAGTGCAATTTATACTGCAGTTGACTGTTGGTCCTGAGGTGAAGATGCAATACATAATGAAGGCTGTATGCCTGATTTTCTGCAGAAAGCATCTCATATCCTCTTTAAGCAAGCAAACTTGTGTCATATGCATAAGACAGGTTGTTGATGAGTCTTCCTCCAATCCTGATGCCACATTCTTCTTCAAAGAATCCAGCTTGGTTAATTATTTTCTCAGTATACAAATGGAATAGTTATGAGGAAAGGATACACTCTTCTTGATTTTAAACTATGCTGTGTTCCCTTGCTCCATTTGGACAACAGCTTCTTGATCTAGGTATGTGTGGTGGTGTTATGTGCCATCAAGTGGCCTATGACTCATAGCGACCCCTGTGTACATTAGTTTTGAAACCTCCTCTATCCGGAACCAATCCCATCGTCTCCGACAGACCCAATGCCGTTTTTCCATTCACTGTGTCAATCCATCTCATCCTCGGTCTTCCTCTCCTGTACTGTCCCTCCACCCTTCCAAATATGATGTCCCTCAGCACTGTGGCATTTGGACAAGAACAAACTGGGAGGAGGGTAGAGAGAATAGTGCAACAATGAATGAGTGGAAGCCCAAAATCTCTGTAAATGTTTATGAAAATTAATAAAATATAATTATAGAAAAAAAATATGATGTCCCTCTACAAGGATGGGTCTCTCCTGGTGATGTGCCCAAAGTATGGGAGATGGAGCTTCAAAATCCTTGCCTCCAGGTCAGATCTGTTTGTTCTCCTGGCAGTCTACGGTAACGTTCAACATTCTTCAGCACCACAACTCAAAGGCATCAATTCTTCTTCTATTATTCTTAGTTATTGTTCAACTCTCTGATGCATATCAAGTAATTGTGAGGACTATAACCTGGATCAGGTGCCCCTTAGTCTCCAGACTGACTTCATTGCTCTTCAGTGTTCTAGAGAAATCTCTAACAGTGGGCTTTCCTAATGCAGTTTGTCTTTTTATTTCCTGACTGCTGGTTCCAAGAGTATTGCTTGTAGAACCAAGCAAACAGAAGTCATTAACAATCTCAGTTTTCTCTCCATCTATTATGAAGCTGACAATTGGCCCAGTGGGGAGAATCTTCGTTTTCTTGATATTGCGCTTCAATCGATATTGAAGACTATAGTCCTTGACCTTCTTCAGCAAATGCCTCATGTCCTCCTCAGTTTCAGCAAGCATGGTTTTATCATCTACATAACATAGGTTGTTGAGTCTTCCTCCAATCCTGATAATTCCTCCTCATAGAGTCTAGCCTCCCAAATGATCTGTTCTCCATATAGATTGAAAAGGTATGGAGATAAGATGCGTACTTGACGCATATTTTTCCTGATCCTGAACTATGCAGTGTATTCCTGCTCAGTTCTAACTACTGCTTCCTGGTCCAAGTATAGGTTTCATGTGAGCACAGTTAAGTGTTCTGGGACCACCCCCTCGTTCTTCTCAATTTGTTGTGATCTACACGGTCAAATGCCTTTGCATAGTCAATGAAACACAAATTGACATTCCTCTGTTGCTGTGTACTTTCAGTCAACATCCATGTAATGTTGGCTATGATGACTCTAGTGTCCCAGCCTCTTCTAAATCCAGCCTGCACGTCTTGCAGTTCTCTGCTGATGTACTGTCCTACTTGTTTTTGCATAATCTTCAGCAGGATCTTACGTGTGTTGTTAGTGTTATCATTCAATAATTTCCACACTCTCTTAGGTCACCTTTATTTGGAATGGGAATAAATACAGATCTCTTCCAGTCAGTTGGTCAGGTAGTTGTTCTACAGATTTCTTGGCATAACCTGGTGAGCACATCCAGGGCAGCATCTGTTTGCTGAAATATGTCAATTGGTATTCCATCAATTCCTTCAGTTTAGCTTGTTTCATGAAATTCTTCTGTGTTATCCAATTGTTTTTGATAGAATGACTCTGTGTACTCCTTCCATCTTCTTTTGATGCTTCCTGGGTCACATTCTGCCTTCAGCATCTTTAAGTATTGGAACTCCAGTATTAAGTTTGTTTTTCAGTTCCTTTGGCTTTAGAAATGCCAAGAGAGTTCATCTCTTTAGATTTCCCGACTCCAGCTCTCTGAACATTTCATTATATAATTTTGCTTTGTCTTCCTGTGCTGCCTTTTGAAATCTTCTGTTCAGCTGCTTAACTTCTCCATTTATTCCCTTTGCTTTGGCCTCTCAGACTTATAGTGCAATATTCACAGTCTCTTCTAACATTCATCTTGGTCATTTCTTTCTCTGTCTTTGCAGTGACTTTTTTGCCTTCTTCATGAATGATATTCTTTATTTCCTCCCACAGCTCATCTAGTTTTCACTCTTTAGTGCTCAAGGTTTCAAACCTGTTCCTGAGATGGTCTTTAAATTCTGGTGAGATAGACTCATGGTCAAACATTGGTCCTTGTGTATTTGATTTTATTTTCTTTGGCTTCAGCTTGAAATTGAATATGAGTGGTTGATGGTCTGTTCCACAGTCAGCACCTGGCCTAGTTTTCACAGCTGATATTGAGCTTCTCCAGTGATTCCCCACCCCCCAATACATGTACTCAATCTGATAGATTCACAATTAAATATTCTGGGCTTCCCATTCTTCTCAATGTTAGCTATAATTTGTTATGATCCACACAGTCAAGCGCTTTTACATGGTCAAAACACAAATAGACATTCTTCTGATATTCTTTACTTTCAGCCAGTATCCGTCTGACATCAGCAGTGATAATCCTTGCTGCTGCTACCTGTTTTAAAACCATCTTGTACTTCTGATAGTTCCCTGTCAATTTACTGTTCTGGCAGTTTTTTTAATGACCTGCAACAATATTTTGCTTGTTGTTGTTGTTGTTATGTGCCGTCGAGTCGTTTCCGACTCATAGCGACCCTATGCACAACAGCCCTAAACCCTGCTCTATCCTGCGCCAACCGC